ACCTTAATTATTTTTCCCATTTTATAAATATGGAAACTGAGGTTTGGAAAGTCAAGTGGCTTATCCAAGGCAGCGCAGCCAGCAAGGAGCCTCTGGGATATGAACGGGCCTGTCTTGACTTTGCTGCCTCCCATTGGGGAAGGAAATTGCTCTAAGCGAAAGGAGTATCAGAGTGGTGGCCCAGTCATAGCCCAGTATTGCTCAAAAGGAAGGTTAAAATAATAGGAGCAATGTACTATAAAATCAAACCTCGAAGGATCTTGTTGGGGGCGGGGGGGGGGGTAGGGGCGTGACGGCGGGATCTGCTGTCCTGGCTTTAACTGCTAAGAGAACTACATTCGAATGTTTCTTTTTTCTTTTCTTTAATTTATGCAGCTGTAACCATCCTCAAAGCCTTATTCTTAAACTTGAAAACATAGTGTCACAGCTGGTAATTTTAGAAGGAGGAGGAGGAGGAGGAGAGAAGGAAGCAGCAGAGGCCCCGCGGGAAGACTGCGTGGGAGGAAGGGCGAGGAGCAGACCCAGGGTTGATTTCAGGTCCCGCCAGGGCTGCCTCGGCCGGATGCCAGCTGCTCCTCTGTTCCCCTCCCCCCTCCCAACTCTTCAACCCAACTGCCCCGCATGGGCTAGCCTAGGTCTGCGCAAAGACCCTAAGCATCTGGGAGTCATTTCATCCTCTCAAAACGCACTAATGATTGAGGAGCATGCTTTTCCAACTATTTTCCATCATGGGAAAGAAAAAACCCCTTTTAAATAAATATGCAGCGAAAAACCAGCTCAGCAGTGCCCAAGATGGATCCAGAGCTACATGTCGACCATCAGGGGAGTGTAAGCACAACACCATGTTCTCAACTTCCCATCCACAAGGAAGAGTGGCATGCACCCCAAGTTCACAGCAATTCAAGCACCTGCTGCAGAACACTCTAAAAATCAAGCGAGCCTGTCCATGGGTCCCCAACTCCCCCACAGGGAGGGACCACAGGATGTACAGAAATTCACAGAGCCCCCTGCCATCCGCTGCCTCTCAGTCCAGCGTCCATGTGCCCCTCACATGTGCAGTGGTGGCTGGAGGTAAACAAGGCCACAGGATACCTATGGCACATCCACCAGCAGGGCCAACATCACTCCCAAAGTTGAGAAATAAACAGTAAACACATTTGTGCTCCCTGCGTCTACATGTGTATGAGATTGAGTTATCAAACTATCCTGTCACCAGAATAGGAAAGACACATGTTTAGATACCGAATCTGACCTGTGGTATCAGCTCTGTGCAAGTCAGCAGAATCTTCAGAATTCCAGAGTCAATAGAAGCATGGCACCCGATCACTAACAATAGAGAAAGTTTGGTTTTGATTTGCTCTGCTCTTCTCATGGCAACTCAAAATACTATTTTTATGTTGAAATATAGTGTGCAGCAACACACAGTAAAAGATACATGTAAGGTTTTAGAATAAAACACAATCTCAAAACCTTTTAACTGAAAGCAGATTGCTGTGGGCTACACAGTAGAGAATAAGAAAGAATTCACTCTCCTCAGCCATTGATACATTTCAGCAGACAGCCCTGGCCAGTGTGGCTCAGTTGGTTGGAGCATTGCCCCCTACGCCAAAAGGTTGGGCATTCGATTCCTGGTCAGGGCACATACCTTGGTTGCAGGTTTGATCCCAGGTCAGGGTGCATATGGGAAGCAACCAATCAATGTTTCTCTCTCACACTGATGTCTGTGTCTGTCCGTCCCTCTCCCCGACTCTTCCTCTCTCTTTAAAAATCAACAAGCTTTTAAAAAACATTTCATCAGACAAAGAATTCAGTACTGGAAAAGATAGATGACCAGGCTGGAACCTCAATCCCCCAGGAGAACAGGCTCCACCTGAAGAAAAACGGCAGCCGATCAGTTGACTGCATGGGAAAGGCCCGTCCCACAGAACCGTAATAGGGAACCCGACACCCACCAAGCCCCAGAACCTGCAGGCATTGCACTCAAGTCAGTGACCTCAGATCTCATGGCAACTTGATGAGGCAGGTACAGAAATGCCCGTTCTATAGCTGGGCAAACAGGCCCTGCACGTAGCCAGCAAGGGACAGAGCTGGGGTGGGGATCTGGACCTCTTGCATGAATTTCATCACTGCCAGCTCCCGAAAGCATCCACTAAAGTGTGGATGCCCAACTTCTCCCAGACTGCTGCCCGACTTCACCTTTACATGCCACGCTGGCTGCTCCCAGGTCACGCCCGCCCTGGCCTTGACCAGACTCTCAGACCTGCCCAGGTCCCTAGCACAGGTCCTTGTAGTGAACAGGTTCACCAGAGGTCCTAAACCTCATCTCCAAGGCAAAGAAGCTTTCCCAATGTTTGTGTTAAACTTGTAGGATTGTGGTTGCTGGGCTGAGAGACATAGGACTTTGGGGACCCCATGGGAAGGCTTGTCGATAGCTGTCACAATGCTTTAGGGGCCTAGAGGATGCAGTATGGCAGCCACGGGCCATTCACAGCTGTTGAGCGCTGGGAATGTGGCCGGTCCAAACTGAGATATGCTGTGAGTATGAAATACAAGATTTCAAAGACTTACTATGAAAACAAGAATGTAGACTATTCCTTGAATAATTTTTATATCAATTACATGTTGAATGATAACTTTCATGATACACTGGTTAAATAAAATATCAAAGTGAATTTGATAATTATTAAATTATATATCATTATTATTATAATTACTCCATATAGTATCAAAATTTGTTTCATTTTTAACATGGCTAGTAGAAAATTTAAGATCACATCTGTGGTTTGCATCATATTTCTGTCCAGCAGAGCTGGCCTGAACTCTTCTGGAGACCTTTGACTGCCTACTAAGTATAAGCTGGAATCTGTTGCAGCCTATTTGCTCAGACGTTGATGCCTCTTTAACTCCCCTTAAGGGAGGGGAGCCAGAGGTCACCTCACCTGGCAGGCTGGAAGGGAGGGCCCATTGAGAATTCTTCCCAGAAATCCTCAGCCAATGAGAGAGTGGGAGAAGTGCTTCCCAAGAGACCGAAGCACTAGTAAGGCCAGCCCTCTTTATCCTCCTTTCCTTCAAGGAGCAGGGCAAAGCAGGTGACGGAGCCAAATGATCCACACAGAAATAGACCTTGAGCCACAAATGCAAGCTGTGTACACAAAAACTGCACATGGAATTTCAAAATTTTGGGTAGCCACATTGAACACAGGAAAAAAATAAGTGAAACTAATTTTAATAATATAGTCTAACATATATTCAAAATTTAATTTTAACCTATAATCAATATAGAAATTATTAATGATATACATTGTCTTTTTCATACTAAATCTTCAATGCCAGGTGTGTGTTTACACATATAGCCCAACACTCACACCTGCTGAGTGCACACGTACCTGATGGCCCAGCTCTCGAGAGTCAAAGTCTATGACTCGTAAGGACGCAGAGCAAAGTGAGCAAGAAACATGGGTCACGACCTGAATATCCACTGCTCAGGAAACTGATAAGTGATAGAACTTCTGCCACTAAGATTTGTTTGCAAAGAGCTCTGATGGCAGGGGGAAATCAAGCCTGTGAATACTTAAAAGCTTTGGGTGAAAATACACTAAAACAGTAAATAACTGTAATCATTAGGTGGTATGTGAATCCTCTTTTGTACTTTTCTGTATCTTACCAATTAATATTAATTTAGAAATTATAATTCTAAAACTTAAAGTGATTAAAACAATGAACCATAAAATACTCATTCAACTGCTGTATGTTTGGCCCTGAGTTCTCCAAGAAGGTGATAAAATATCCACGGACATTGAAAACGGGGCTAATGTCTCATTTGTGGGGAGAGGGAGGGCTTTCCTGGTTAGGTATTTTGCCTCCATTGTAACTGGGAATGTCAAACTGCACGCCAGCCAGGGCTGCAGGGAATTCTGCGCTAAGTCAGCAGCAGAGGCAGGTGTCCGACGCAGATTAAACCTGCATCTGTCTCCGCAGAAGCGCCTGCATCCCTCGGCCCAGAGCTATGTGGGGCAGGAAAGGCAGCTGGGTGTTGCTGGAAGTGCTCAGGCTCGAAAAAACAGGTGATCGCACATTCTTTCAGCGTGTGCGAAATGAGTCAAATCATTTATAAAATGCCTGCAGCTGTTACGGAGAAGACACTGGCCAGCCACAGGTATTAATTTAAAGGGCAACCCCGCCCTGCTCTCGCGTGCACGCACCCACGCATGCGCTCGTGCGCACAGCGCGGGACAGCCAGATGTCCAAGGACGTTCCAAAGCCTGTTCACGACGTACCTGCTCACAGTACCTTCATTTCCCAAAGGGATGAAACTTCCGAGCAGCAAATTTTGCACAGCCAGAGGTGGCATGTCACTTAGGAAAGAGGAGGCAGGCGAGGTGCCCTGCCAGTGCGCAGGTCTGGGATTCTGTTTCCTCTGTCACTTGTTGCCTCTAACCTCGAGGTCTCAATGGAGTGTGACTGCTATTGATGAGCAGAGAGTCCTACTTCAGAGATTAAATCAAGGCTGAGCCCATACGCCTCAAAGGGTAACAAACTAGATGAGTGGCTGTCTAGGGCTCAGCGGGGTGGGGAGTCGAGGTGTGATGTGTAAGGGGTGCAGGGGCTTTTCTGGGGGAGCAACCATCACCTAAAATTGTAGTGATGGTCACACAACTCTGATGATACTAAAAGCCTTTGAATTGCATACTTTAAATGAGTGAATTATACGGTATTTGAATTATATCTCAATAAATCTGGCTTTCCAAAAAAAAAAAAAAAAAAAAAAAAGAAAAGGAATAAGCTCAGATAGGAAAGCAACTCACTCAACCCCTTTCACGCCTACCGAGCTTTCGGTGGCCTCAGCGCTTCTTTCCCTGTGTGAGGAAGGGGACCGGCTCCCTGCTTTTGCCTGGGTAAGGACGCAGGCAGGCGCAGTACCCTGCCCTGCAACCCACACAGGGTGCCTCGGCCGAGGGGAGGTACCACGGTCCTCCAACAGGCTGATCCTTTTCACTGACCTTTCTGCTCCTCCCGCTCTTCTGGCCTCGCTGGAAATGACCTCGCCGGTGACATCCGGAGCATCCTTCTCAGGAACTGAAGGGCAGGTGGACGGGCCACGCCCGGGGCTCTTTCTAGGGCAACATTAAAGCAACAGATGGTAAGAAAGGCACTTCCTCCTATTGAGAAGCCCATATACCATTTAAAGCTTTAAATGACTACTATGCCAAAAGCCCTAGGACAAAAAGGAATTTCAGGCCGTCAGTGGGTTTGAGATGCTTTGGGATCATTTGGGCCTCTCTGCATAAATAAATGCAGATTCAAACACAGATGTATCTGGACTCCAGTAAAAACAGGCAATCAACTAGAGCCTATGACCCAATAGTGCGCTGCCAGCCAGTAAACAGCTCATGCTTTGGAAACAGTTTAAGGAGGATGAATTAAAGAACACAAGAAAAGGCATGAGACCTGTTCGACCAACACCGCCCACGCCTCCACCCATTATGCTCACATTTTTCATAATCTCAGCACATCCAGAGAATGATTGTAAGCAAGTAAATGTAAACAATTAGATATGGAAAACGTAGCTTCTTAATAACAACCCACCTATTTGACTGACAGAAATCAGGGTGAGAATCACTTTGGACAAGGACCCCACATTCCCCTGGGAATTTATTCTTTTAAGTACCTTTCAGCGTGGAATGCTTCCGGAGCCAGGTCTTGATGTTTAGGGTCCTGACTTTCTTCAGGTTCTGGAGGTGAGGAGACACATGCCTTCCCGTCGTCCCCAACAGGAGTGGGAAGCTCAGTTTGCGGGCGCCCAGCCAGGCTGCCCCCGCACGGGGTGGCTGTGCCCTCCATCCCCGGAGACCCCTCAGCGCAGCCTGGGTCTCCACTGCTCCTTGGCAGTACAGCAGCAGGAGCCGTTCCAGGGAACATCCTCGTCGTACCTGTTTCCGGCAGGTCACCAGGCACACGTGCCCCGGTCTCAGCAGTGCTCAAAGTGACGTCACCCTCTGCTTCCCGAGCAGCCCCTGCCACCACCCCAGGCTCCGGGGGCGTGTCTGCCACTGCTGCTGGCTCAGTGGCGCTCTGGTTGCCCAGGCCATTTTGTTTTTCTGAGAGCCCAGTGGCACCTGCAGGCCTCCTCTCCCCACAAGGTGTGTCAGGGGTCCAGGGCTCACTGATGGCCTCAGTCACAGTGGGAGCAGAAGCCCCCAGGCCAGAGGTGGACACTGGCGTGTCACCTGGAGCTCCTGTGTCGGCAAAGCCCCAGGCAGCATCTTCTCTGGGTTGACCATTGCTGGTAGGTGCATCCTGGGACTGTTTCTCGGAAGGAATTCTGTTGTCTGGTGCCGAGTCCCCTTCCCTGTGGCTCTGTGGAGCCACTGGCAAGTCAGCAGCTTTCTCCACAGGAGCCTCTGGAGCAGCAGCTTGTGGAGAAGGCCCTGGAGCTGGTGGCTGCTGGCCGCTTCCCTGCTGCAAGTGGGCCTGGCGGCCTGGCCCGGGTGCAGCTTCTCCGGCCTCCTCCTGCTTCTCGCTTTCCTTCAGCATCAGCGGGACCCTGGTCACTTCCTTGCCCCCACCGGCACCTGGCAGGTTCTGCTCTCCCATCGGCCCTGTCAGCCCCAGCAGCTTTTCTGGAGCTGGATCCTGGAGAACCACGTGGGAACTCTCAGCCTCAACAGCCAACTCTTGCTTCTTCTGCTTCTTTGAGTCCCCCCAGAGTCCAGCAGGAGGGGCGGGTAGAGGGGCTACCACCGCTGCTTGAGTCCCATCTGGAAGCTTCTCTGGGCTTGATGGCACACTGAGGTCCTTGCCCCCCACGCTACGGCCAGCTCCTGCCTTTTCTCCTGGTGTGCGCTGGGGCCGGTCGGCGGCCAGGGCTCCGAGCACGGATTGCTCAAAGATCTTGGTGATATGTTCCCTGAAGTCAGGGAACCCGGCAGTCATGCTGATCTGCTTGGGGCTTGTGTCCACCCCGCCCGATGTACCCTTCCTCGGGTCCTGGGAAGGTTCTACCGTCCTCGCCCCGCCACCCTCCGCGCCCGCCTCACTGCTGACAGGGTGTGCGGGCATCTCCCGGGGCTGAGTGCCCGCCCCGGGAACTCTGTCTGCACTCTCCTCCCCGGCCATGTGCTTACCACTGGCCGGAAGCAGCATCCCGTCCAGGTAGGGCACAGAGTCCCCAGGGCCTTCAAAGTTCCTGGCTTTGGGGCTTCTGCTCTTGGCTTGCACCATGGAGATGTCCCCACCTGCTGCTCCTGGTTGCGACAGGGGGGGAAGAGGACCAGCTGCCGGCTTCCTGGAGGCAGCATTTTCCACGGCAGGCAGAGGCTCCTGTAGACAAGGGCTTTCACCATGACCTCTAGGACCATCTCCTGCCCCTTTCCTGGCAGCGCTGTCAATATGCAGGTAAGGAGTGTCTGGAGTGGCATCTTCCAGTGGCTCTGATGGCAGGGGCTTCTTTGGGTTGGGGACAGCCTGGGCTGCAGAACTATCCACCATGCTCCTGGGAATCCCACCCACCTCTCCCGCTGGCGCCAAGGCGTCCTGGCAGCTGGCCGAGGGCTGCTCAGTGTGGCCAGCTTCACTGTGGGCAGGGGTGCGAGCTTGCTCCCCAGGGGAGGGGCACTGGTCCATCTGAAGGGAGCCGCCACTCAGAGTACCTTCTGGCTCCTCTGGAGCCCCCTGCACCCCCAGGTCTCCTTTGTCAACACCCCCACCAATCTCAGCAGCGCTCCCCACCACACCTCGCTGCTCCTCGGCTGATGGGAAACCTCCAGGAAGCTTCTGGGCCTCTGCATCCAAGGTGGCAAGACGCTCCATTTCCTTCTGCGGGGCTGGCTCTGGTTGCCGCCCGCCTTCCTGGGTTTCATCACACGCTGCCCTCTGTGGGGCGTCCTGAGCGGGCGTGACGCCGGGGCTGGCGGGCGCCGGGGCTCGCGGGCAGCGAGCCGCATCCAGGAGAGCTACTGAGTCAGGCCGGCAAGGCGGGGCCCCTGCTGTGTTCCCGCTTGCCTCCTTCGTCTTACCCAAGGCCTGGAGTGGGGGCCGGGCGTCAGCTGCTTCAGAAACACCTGCATCCCCCGGACAGGCTTCTTCATGCTGGCTGCTGGCTCTCGGCTCACCGCCCGGCTCCTGTTGGGGCTTGTTCGGCCCCTGCCCGGCACAACCTTCGCTTCTGCTCAAGCTCCCTGCGAGGGGAGAGTCTTGTGAGGTGTCTGCGGCAGGAAGCAAGACCCTGGAGGCCTGGCTGTCCCTGCATGCCCCCTCTTGCCCATGCTCCCCGAGTGCGGGCAGCCCGGGTCTTATTGGGGCTGACAACTCCAGCGGCTCTGTCACAGCGCTCTCCGGAACTGTGTCCCTGGGAGCCGAACATGGAGCGTCAGACAGACTGACTGTGGGGAGCTCACTTTGCAGTTCCAACCTGGAAGCCTGCTCCTCTCCTCTGGGAGCGTACAAGCTCCCATCCCCTCGAGGCTCTGTGGGTACGTGGATTTGGGGAGAATCCGCACCTGGGTTCTTAAAGCCTGGATCACCTGGAGAAGCCTCTTTCTCATTTTCACACAGCTGAGCCTTCTCCCCGAGCATATCAGAGACAGGTGCTTCTGGGCCCGACGGGCACAGCTGGCGATGGCTCTCAGGAGAGCCTGACGGTCCCTCAGGTGCGGCTGCTTGTGTTTGGCGTCCTGTGCAGGATGGGTTTCCCTGCTGATCATGCTCCGGAATGAGCGTCGTGAGCCCACAGTCCTCTGCCAAGGTCTCCACACCGGCGGGATGTGGCCCATCGGCTTGGACTTCCTGTCCAGCTGCATCGTGCCCCAGCCCACAGGGCTGGGGGGACCTCAGCAAGCCCTCCCTATCACAGCTGCCGGGCTTTGGCGCCGACCGGTGGCTCCTGGTCTTTATTTCAGATGAGCTCTCCACGTCCCCGGCTTCAGGGGTGACCTCTGCAGCAGAAGTTGACAGGAAGTCTGATTTCTCAGATTCTAAAGCAGGAAGACAGTCCATTCTTCCCAGTCCCCCCACGTCCTGGAGGACGTCAGGACATTTGGGCTGTACCCCTGGCCCCTCCCGGACAGCTCCTGTGGGAACAGCGGGTTCACCGGCTCCATCCGGCCCAGGAGGCGTGATGGAGCCTTGCTCATGGGGCTCGTTCAGTGAGCTGGGTGCGTGAACCACGTGGACTTCTCCCAGGGTCCCACACGCCTCTGAGCCGCGAGCGGCAGCCTCTGATGGAGACCTGGGCCGGTCCACGTGTCTGGGACCCTCCTCCCTGGGCGGCCGCACGGAGGCCAGGCTGGGAAGGACTTTGCTGTCCATGTCGCCGGTCAGCTTGGAAACCTCCTCTTGCTTCATCTCTGGGTCAGGCCAGCAGCCGAGGGCCTGGGGCTGCTCTGCCCACAGGTTCCCGGGATCAGCACTGCCAGGTGGCTCTGAGGCTTCTTCCCGTCCTGGAGGATCAATCCTAGATTGTGTGCTTTTGCCCTTAGCCATACATGGGCCATCAGGCGCCTTGGCTTCAGCCTTTGGCCCCGGTGACCTTCGGGCACTTCCGTCTGATGTGCTGGGAGGAGGGGGCAGTGCCCCTTGCAGGACTTCAAGGCTTTGCTCCCTGGTGCAGGTCTGTCCTCTCTCCTTCTGGGGCAAAGGGGCAGGACCGCCCCCGGGGCCCTCTTCTGGACCCACCCCCTCACTGCTGACATCTGAGGTGGGCGTCTCCTGTCCTGCCTCTGCCTGCTCTTTGGCTGGATCTGTGAGAGCAGGTACCTCAGGCCTGGGAGCCATCTCCCTGGCCGGCCAGCTGGGCTCTCCTGGGGCAGCGGAGGCCTGAGCCGCGGGCTGGGGAGTGAGGCCTGAAGCTGGACACGGTTCCTCAGCGCTCACCAGCACAGCCCCTTCGCGTGGGTCCCCTGCTCCCACGCACAGCGTTCCTTGCATCCCCATCTTCAAGGGACACTGCACGTCACCAGCATCCAGAGTCTCCATCAAAGAGCCCCGGGCCCCCGGTGCCAGGGCAGGACGGGGCAAATCCCAGGGTGGCTCCGTGCGTGGCGGTTGTGGCCCCATTTGCTGCTGGCCGCTTTCCTGGGGAGCAGCGGTGGCCTCAGCTTCTGGGGCAGCCCCTGAATTGCTCCCAGTGGGACAGCAGGCCCCGAGGGACCCTGAGTCAGCGACTGAGTCCTGCAGCGGCATCTCTGCTTGGCAGGCTGAGGCTCCGGGGGCTGGCTCTTGTGGGGCAGGGGTCTCGGGCGCTGGGGGGCCCTCCTCCAGGCCCGCTGAGCTCTCCTTGACTGACTGGGCTGCAGAAGGGCTCGTGGGGGCCACTTGTACTCCAGACTCTGGTGGAGGGAGGCCACCCGCGGCCTCTTTCCTTTGGGAGCTGCAACCACCAGGCCGGCTGTCCTCTGCAGCCAGCTGTGCCTCCACCGGCTCGCTGCGGGGCACTGGTGAAATTCCGGGCAACTGGTCACTGGAACTGGAGGAAGCCGGCTTCCGCCCCTCTTCCTTTGGGTCTCTCTCTCTTCCAGCACTGGGGACGTTGGCAACCGCACTGTGCTGAGAAGGGCCGTCCCCTTGAGAGGCAGACGCTGCCAGAGCGCCCCACTGGACATTTGGAGAAGATTTCCTCCTGAGGTGCCGGGCAGACGGCCGCACGAGGGGCCAGTGTTCAGGGGCGGGCGGCGGGCTTGCCGAGCAGGCTTCGGGGGGGCTCTCGGCAAAGGGCAGGTGCCCCTCTTCCCTTAGGTCGTTCTCTCTTCCAGCACTGGGGACAATGGCAGCCACACTGTACTGGGCGGGGCCGTCCCCTGGAAAGGCAAACGCTGCCAGGGCGCCCCCCTGGACATTTGGAGAAGATTTCCTCCTGAGGTGCTGAGCGAGGGGCCGAACGAGGGGCCAGCCTTCAGGTGTAGCCGGTGGGCTTGCCGAGCAAGCTGTCGGGGGGCTCTCGGCAAAGGGCACGGAGCCCGAGGGGCTCTCCTGCTCCCAGGGCGCTGGTGGGCTGGGCAGTGGAGAACCTTCTGGGCCCCAGGATTTCTGCAGGTGCTTCCTGGGTTCAGTCACCTCTGGGGACGCGATGCCCAGATCCAAGCTGGTGGCACCCTCAGGAGCGGCGTGGGAGCCTCCGTGCTCAACACTGTCAACAAGAAGAACATTAACTGTGTCACGAGCTCTCGGGGAGCCCAGGACAGAGCCACAGCACAGGCAGAACCACCCCTGTGCTCCCCCATCAAAGGCCACAAACCGCACCGTCCTCATGCAGCTCCTCCCTCCCCACAAGAGACACCCCCAGCCCAGTCCCTCCCGGAACCAGTACACGTGGCATCGCTTCCTCCAAAAACTGACACCAGGAATCGCAAACGTTCAGTCTGCGAATTTCTGGGCTGGTCAGTACTGAATGGGGAACTAGGGAAACTCATTTGTCGTAGCCTAAAATGCGGGAAACTCAGAGTTCTTAAAGAAGTTCGATATCATAATAGAGGGTTTGAACCAGTTCTGTGTGGCTTACAAGGAGGTCCCACACACTCCTGGGGATCCTTAGGTGTTCGGGGAAAAGGTACAAGGAAGCACAGCTGTGCTTTGCAGTAAAGATAATAGCTTGATTCTTGACATTTGACAGGTGTTACCGTGAGAGGCCCAATCCCAAGTCCTTTCTGTTCAGCTTTGGAATTCCTGCACGTGGCCTATATATAGCTCGCAGGAGCTGAATTACCTTATACCCATATTTGTGTTGAACACACTTAGCTGGATAACGTGGGAAGAGAAACTAGGAAACATGCAGGAAACCTGAGGAAACTGGGCTTGAAATTACAGACTTGCTATAAATAACTACCCAGTTATTGTAAAGTAGCTATCTCATCCTCTATTTGGACTGTATTTCTCAAGTCTACATAGTTTTAATTGAGTGCATTTTAAGAATTTAAAAAGGATATATTGCCAATACAAAATTTTGAAAATGTAGAAAGGTAACAGAAGTATGGTTTTTTAAAAGGCTTTTTATCATTTTCTTTAAAGTTATCATAGGAAAATATATGGAATTTTGTTTTAAGTGTTTGCTACATACACATACATTCACACACACACAGACCCACGGGGTTTTGGATGTCACCAGCAAAAAAAAAAAAAATTCAGCTCTGCATGTTCAGCACACAAATTCTAGCTTTCCATGCAAGGCAATGCGTATATTCACATACGAGGGGGTACAGTGGGAGGGTGAAATACCTTCCCGTTGAAATTTAGAAATATGTGTAATGAACTGAGTCATGTCCCCCACAAAACCCGTATGTTGACATCCTAACACCCAGCCTGACTGTATTTGGAGGTAGGGCCTTTAAGGAGGTAATTAAGTTAAAGAAAGTCATGTAGACAGAGTCCTGATTCAATGGGAGTGGCGTGCTTTTAAGAGGAGGAGACACCAGGGATGCCCTCTTCCATGAAGGTGCCGTCTACAAGCCAAGAAAAAGGTCTTAGCAGAAGCTAACCCTGCCCATGCCTTGACCTTGTTGTTGAAGCCACTCAGTCCAGGCATTGTTATGGCAGCCCGAGCAGACTAGGACAACAGGCATAAGGAGATGGGATCATTTCAACATTTTTGAGGTTTCTGATTTTCCAAAATGAAAAGTTGGGAAAATAATAAAGGACGAAATCCGTTGAACACTGAGGCTTTGCATGGATTGTCTTATTTAACGCTGTGAGCACCGTGTGAGGTGGGTAGTACCGCTGCCATTTTGCAGACGAGGAACCTGGGGGACAGAGAGGTTAAGCTTGGAGCTGAGGGCTCGCCATCTCAGTCCCGTGGGGCTGTCTCCAGGAGTAAAACCTTCCAAGGAGGGAGGCTGGAAGCATGTGCCCTAAACTCCTATGTTGAAACCTAATCCCAAAGGCACTGGTATTAGGAGGTAGGGCCTTTGGGAGGTGATTAGGTCATGAGGGTGGAGCCCTCACGAATGGCATTAGTGTCCTTATTTAAGGGACCCCAGGGAGCTCCCTGGCCCCTTCCACCATGCGAGGACACAAGGAAGATGGCCATCCAGGGACTAGGGAGATGGCTCTCACCAGACAAGGAATCTGCTGGTGCCTTGATCTTGGACCTCCGTGCTGCAGAGGTGTGAGGAAGGAACGCCTGTTGTTTGAGTCCCAGTCTACGGTGTTTCTACAACAGCCTAAACAGGCTGAGACAGAGGGGAAGAGGCTCCTGACCAGGCTGCATTCCAGCCCCTCGCCAAGCCCCTCCCTCACCTGTGCAAAGCACGTGACGTGACATTGGACGACTGCCTTGTAGGAAGTGCGTGCTCCTCACCGCTGCACCAGTCATCCAACTTGATGACGTGAGAATGGTGTGCCTGGGGCACTGAAAAGACTTAGGATGGACCCAAGAGAGAGAGTTGGCTAGTGTCTCAACCAGATTATCATTTTCTGACCCAAAAGCAGAGCTGAGAAGGGCAAAGAAGAGAGAACTCAGAGGGTAGATTATATGCACCCCTCCAATTCCCAAATGGTCAGGACAGAAGTCCCCAGGGAGAGCCCTGGCCCAGCGCTGGCTGGAGTGAGGGAGAGCCCCCAGGGTGGGGTCCGGAGCCGGGCCTGGCCGTCTGGAAAGCACGAGGCTCGGGGTGGGGGTCACAAGCTGTCAGGCGGTCGGCTCAATGGACTTGTCCAGAAGCAGCACTTGAACTTCACTGTGTCTGGGCCATTAGCGAGGGGTCAAACCGCTTAGTAGTCTGGGAGAGGAACGGTGCCTCATTGGAAGATGGAGCCTTCCTACTTACATTGGCTCGCTCAAGGAGCCCAGAACACCATCTGGAGATAAAACAAACAAAGCTGCTTCCTTGTCCCCACCTCAGGCAGGACCTGCCAGCTTAGGGGGAGTGGGCATTACCACCCGAAGACAAGATGATAAATTCACTTGATTTGGACACCTTGAAAACTTGGGGGTCTTAGCCCAGAGCACCTAGGACCAGGCGTCCCGCTGAGTGTGAGGCACCCTCTCCCCTCAAACACACAACCGGCCTTTGGTTTATTTCTCGGAAGCTGAGCAGCAACAGCCCCTTTGATTAGCTCTCGGAAGCCACTTCTACAGCCACTCACAGGAGTCGATTTGCCTCGGGGCAGGCAAAGTTCTCTAAGAACGGATCTGTTCAGGGCTCGGCATTAGTCAAAGCTCACATAATGCCCTTTTATGCTTCAAGATTGAGTCGGAATGTGTGGGATGTAGGTTCTGTTCTCAATTCAAAGCTGGCTCTAGTGGGCTGGGCTCTCAATGGAAGGCTTTCAGCCCCAAGGGGGCGCTGCCTTTGTTTAGAGGTCAGGAGGGCACCAGGCGGCAGCCGCCTCTGTGCAGGCCAGATGCCCCCAGCCCAGCAACGAGGACGCATGGGGTGCAGAGCTGGGAAGCCGGTTACTTGCTGCAGCAAAGTTCTGAGCACACTTGGGGAAGCAGAAAGGGCCCTGCCCACTACCCCAGCGGGAGACAGTCACTTCCAGAGGTGATCCTAAATGCGTAGTTCTGCACACAACACGCCAGCAGACTGTGAGCGCTCGGAGGCCAGCGGAGGGTGAAAAACAAGCATGACCCTGCGCTGCCGGGCTTTGAGATCAGCAAATCCAGGAAGCAACATTGTCAAGATGGAGAGTTGCTATGTACCTAGCATCTACTAAGGCCAGGCCCGTGCAAAGTATGTTTCAGTTATGATCATATTTAATCCATGCAGTACCCCAGCAGAGAGAGGACATCCCCCCTACGGCACACATGAAGAAATATTTCTAGAGCAGTTCAAGACCAGGCCTGGGGCCGCAGAGTCCCTTTACAATGCAAGCTCCAGCCCCACGCTGCCTGCTCCAGGGCCCCGCCACCACCCACTTCCCTGCTCTTGCTGGCCGTGGCCCTGCCGGACGGCTGCGGCCACCCCTTCGCCCACCCACTCCGCCCCCTTCCTCCTGTTCACCGGACTGCAGCCAGAGCAATGGCTCAGAAACCACGGCCTGATTCTGTTCCCCGCCAGGGAGGCACTCTCCCGCGGCTTCACCTGTTAGATAGAAGCCGCGGCCCCCCACCTACATTTCTGCAACGCCCCACACAGCGCTCCCCATCCTGCCTCTGCCTGCAGCCTGGGGTCCTCCTGCCTCTCTCCAGCACACCTCAGCCCCAGCCTTCACTTCTCAGTGAAGCCTCCCTGACCTGGCTTCTGGGGTCCCATCTCCTTTCACAGGCGCACCTGGGGATGCCACTAGTCACAGTTGCCATTGACATGGATGGATGGCCGTTTCCCCCGCTGCGTCTTGTCTTATATCCCCAGTGCCTGGCATAGAGCAAGCACTGACTATACGAATGTCTGACTGGATAGAGTGCTGTTGAGGACCCGCACTGAGGGAGGCGTCACTTATTCCGGAGACCTTAGAAAACCAATTTATGTTCTAAATGACCCATGCAGAGGAAGGAATCGCAAGTTAATAAGGAAATGGAAATTTCCATGGCTTCACAGCCTTGAGATGTCATTTCACGTAGAAAGGCACCTCCTCAGACGCTTCTTTGTGCGCCTTGCAGATGACCATATTCTGCCGTGTGTGGTGTGCACCCATGTTTCATGCACATTATACACGGGATTATTATGCGCATCGTATGTAATCATTATACCCATGTATAATGCATATCCCCATTTTCCCCTCAAAAACTTGGGCAAAAAAGTGAGCGTTATACACGGCAAAATATGGCAGGTCCAGTCCACGTGCATGATCCCAACTGGTCCACCCAACACTCCTGGCACGATGCCAGGGCGCCTGCTGACCTCGGCAGCCCTGCCAGTCTCAGCTTTGTATTTTTAATCCAGTTTTAACTCTTTTCTGTGTTCATTCTGTGATCGAAAAACACAAAGACCGTAATGCTTGAACAACCCAAGCAATAGATAAAAAGAAAGTACCGGTAGGCTCTAAAGAGTTACTGGGGAGAAGGGTGTGTGGGGGTGTGTACGTAGTGCTTGAAACACCAAAGTATCCTTAATGTTCAGCCTACACTTTGCCACATGAACTTTTATATGGCTTCAAGGCCAAGGTGTCGGTCCGCTCATGAGAACCCGTTATCGAACATAGCGGGGGACTGAACTCCCCAAAATATTCCACAACTGTCTTCTAACAAGTTTT